GCCAGAAGGCTTACAAAGCAGTTGTTGCTCATTGCGTTTGAAATAGATTTTTTTTTTTAGGATAGCTGCTAATAAACAATGAAGTATAAACTCCTTTGCTTGCCAAATTTCCACTTGGAGCACTGCCTCTCCTCTTTTTTTAAATACCCTGCTCCATCTGCGCACCATTTCTTCCAATCGCCGAGAAAATAGGCAGCGATCAACAGCCATAAACACACACACACCTCCAGTCCCTATCCCTTTCTGTCTTTACCCCTCCCTCCTCCCTCCTCGTATCTGCCTTGGCTGACCTAGATAGTGAAAAGCCAGGAGATGGAAAGACATGACTTCAGCAGAATCAAAATGATTTTCAACGGTCTTGCAGACTAGCCTTTTGTTATGCAGCTCGACAGGCAATTGCATATTCTCCCACTTCCAGATGGCAGTATTTATAGCAGAGGTTGCTGTTGTTCTCGTGGTTGTTTTTTTTGCGTGAAATAAGAGCAACTTTGAATATTTTGCTTCAGAATCCCTGTTTTATCCGGTGTGTGTTTGCACAGTCATACATTTTGTGTCTTTAGGTGAGAGGAAATTACAAAAAAATAAATTCTCAAAGCTCATTGTTTTTATTCCTGTGATTTCACTCAGAATGCCTCAATCTCTTTTACCTTCCTGTCACAGTATGTCGATGTATTTAAGTCACACATTCCCGGTTCCAATCCAATAAGGATGGATGTATGCTGTAAGAAAACAGGGCTGTACTGTATGTCCTGCTCATATACCACTCCGACACTGCTGAACTAGGTCGTTAGACCCTTCATCAGGAATGTGAAAAAAAAAGCCTTTTCCTGGACACAATGTGAGGATAGTGCAGGTTGCACAACTGAAGTATATCTGTGTTTTTGAAAAGTGATTGGGTCCATGCACATATTGCTTGATTTTGTATGCCTCAACAGCTTTAAAATACTGCTGCGAGGATCTCCTTTGGCTCCTGGATTATCTGTTCCGCCCCTTGATCTCCACCTCGGATTTCTCGTTCCTTCTTGAAAGAATGACTTTGTGTAAAGGACGGCATTTATTACCTCCTCTAAAGAGATGGCATGGCTAAGTATGATGAATGCGTGATGAATTTATCAGTATGTGATGAATGTACAATCTGGTGCATTTCAACTAAAGTTTCTTTCTTTTCTCCTCTCTCTCCCTCTCATGCTCTCTTGCTGCTCCCTGTGATGCCGTGAAAACGACCAAATAGGTAAGTGAAACCCATTTTGCACACTAAAATGTCAAATTGAGTTCATTTTCTTTGCGAGAGAATGCAGCGGCTGTGCAGCAGATATCAAGGATTTTTCAATAGTGTTGCATTTCCACTTCTTGCTGACTTTCAATGCTTATGTGTACCCTTTTGAGTGAGAAGGACAATGGTTTTCCCAATGACAGTGCACCTGTGAATCTAGGTACATCGTTGGGGAAGTAAATCTCATGAGGGAATTTTTCTAGAAAACTCAGTGCTGTGGTTTAGGCACACTCTGCTGCCCACTTTTAATTACTTATTTCCTTTAAATGAGGGGAAGCCTTGACTGTAAGTTTTCCGAGAGCTTCTTCTTGTGGCTTAGAATCTAGGCGAGCATTACATTTTAATAGACAGGAGGATTGCAATATGCCTTGCTTCCTTTCCACTGACTCATTTTCTATGTATTCTTCTAAGTATCATATTTTAATAGGGGACCTTGCAATATTTATAGATACGGTGATTATAAAACGGGGCAATTGCCATATTTGTAGAGGTAAATTATCTCTTGAATGTGTAAACGAGGGCAACTCGTGCCACAGTCTCAGTACTGTCGATGGGCAATTTAAAAACCAGTGAGAAGAGTTTGCTTTAACTTTCTGCACAGGTTCCTTTTAACAATTGGGTTGCTCATTAGTGCTCACAGCAGACTGCAGTAGAGACAGCACGTGACTTCACTTTATTTGGTCTAGCTCTCTCCATTTCCATGTGCTTTCTGCCGCCACCCTCCTCTTTCTCACCAACACAAAGGCAAATGGCTCATCTGTCTCTCTGGCGTCATTCCACCTTCATTCCACCCTTCTGTCTTTTCATTACGCCTCTCCATCTCCTTTTGTCTTTTCATAATAAGGAGAACCATCTTTTCCTGTCCTTCTGACGCTCTCATGTTCCAGGCTGTTATTCCGCTCACACGTCGTAAGGCGGGGAAAACAGAGCAAGATGGCGTTCGCATTGCCTTCCAATGTGCCGCAATTTAATTTTCTCATTTGATCTTGTCAAACGGCTGTATTTGGAATACATGAGGCTGTTTAAATTCATGAGGTCAGATGGAGTGCTTTCTGTAATTGGAATCGCTTACACACTTTCTTGAGGACGCCCTCCGCCTCTTTTTTGACAACAATATGATCAGTGTGAGTGTGAGGGCAAGAATGGCCAGCGTACTTCACACTACAAGGAAATCAGAAACAATGACTTCATTATTGTTGTACGGTTTCAATATCATTATTTATCAGATATTCAGCTCTGACCACTTAATGAACAATAATACAAACCAACAAAAGCTGATGATGCCAGGAAATGGTACAAACAAACCAGAGACCAATTTATTTATTGTAAATAACTTTGATGAAGATGTTTGCCAGTGTAACATTTTGTAATGTTGGGTAGAGTCATTAATTAATTAAGTGTGAGTGCTTGTCTCCAAAGTGTTGTATCAGGCGGTACATTTGAAGCGTTGTAAGTCAAACCTAGCCTTTGCTTAAGTGTCAAGAGTCTCCTCGAGTAACTAGATGATACTTAAGAGCCATAATTACTTACCTCTTCTCATTAGGGCTCCTGGGAATTGCATCATTTAACATAATTTTAAGAAGAACAACTTTAAATTGACCCACCTATGGAACTAGAAGCATCATATGGTGTCATCTTGTTAGAGTAAAGGAGCCGACAGACAGTGATAATAAATGTGGTGCATTGCTACAACTAAACATTTAAAAAATGATGTCAAACTTACATTTTTTCCCAAAGGCTTAAAGATGTGGAGATACTTGAACTGAAAGAAAATACATCCTTGTTACCGCATTGTCACATCTTTAGACTGAGAGTGAGCAATGTCGGCGTTTGTCTTGATTATCCATAACATTTAGCAGAATGTTCTTACCGGTGAAGAGCGAAGCCATTAGCGTCGTAGGATAAAGAGAACCAAATGTGCTGCGTTGATGCATCTCCATTCAACGACAGGAGTCGCGTTTGTTCATTCAAGGTGTTACAACAATGTGCTGAAATAAAAAAGGGGACGCTGTTCATTTGTGAGGCATAAATGGTTGAGACACTTCAGTCAAAATCATAGCACTGAAATGGCTTGGAATTAAAAGTACTCCATTTTAGATTAAAAAAAACAACAGAGACTAAAACAAAATTGGCAATTAAAATTCCAGTCATATTTTAATAATGCCACCATAGTTTTGGTTTTGTTTGTATAGTAGTCTACATGAGTATTTGACTTGTGATGCTGAAGGACATCAATCAAATATGTTTGACTAATAATAATAATAATAAATGATATTTATATAGCGCCTTCAAGGGACCCAAGGTCGCTGTACATGGTGGACAAACAAAAAAAAGAAAGGAAGCCGGGGGACCAAGAAAGGGCTCGGCCCGAAGGCCAGGGTGAACAGGTGTGTTTTTAGTGATGATTTGAAGATGTCCAGGGAGGCAGCATTACGGACCTCGGCAGGAAGTGCATTCCAGAGGGTGGGGGCCGCAACACTGAAGGCCCTGTCAACAACAGTTCGGAGGCGAGAGCGGGGAATGGAGAGCAGGCCTGTGTCTGAGGACCGCAGACCCCGGAAGGACTCCATTGCAATAGTCCAGACGGGATGTAATGAAGGCGTTTACAAGGGTTTCTGCCACAGAGTCAGAGAGTGAAGGCCGGATTCTGGCAATGTTTTTTA